CAGGAGAATTGGTGCTGGGTTTTCTCCACCGTTTTGGAGGCACCTCCCATCCCAGCTGATGGATCATGGATGGGCATCTTGTGCCATCCACTTGGGTGGTCCATGGAGAATCGGCGGATGCATGCAGTACAGTGCGCGTGACGGTGGAATCATGGTCTGATGGAGCCCAAGGACCATGGGAGTTGCAGTAGTAGATAGATCATCAAACAGTGGGTTGCGTTCTGGGGACACCGGGTCGTGAAGGAACAGCGACCTACGCGTTTTGGTCTACTGTACACTGGTCTTCAAGAATGAGACGGGCTGTACGCTGCAGGATTTGGTGGCTGTTGTGAGGGAATGAGTTCGCAGTCGCGATGGCACTCGGTGGATCTCTCTGTCTCGAAAGTATTTTTTTGAGAGGGAAATGGAAGTGTGTAGTAGGGTGAGCTAAAAGTGACAGCAAGTCACTAAAGGCCTGTTCGAAATCTCTCCGGTCCGCTCCACTCCGCGGAGCTCCTCGGTTTGAGCTGCTCCGTGGAAATAAGTTGCAGTTTCCCCCGCTCCGGGAGCGCAGTCCAGGGAGCGGAGAGGAACCGAACAGGCCTTAAGTCAGCAAGTGTGGTTCAGAATCCAGAGCGGTTGATTGGCGTTGTTTCATGGTCAATACTGGTATATGCGGACTTGGACGGGAATTAAGCACGCTTGATTTGCCGGTCAGAGAGGGTTTGATGGGTCCTGATGCAGAAATGGCAGCCGAACCATCATGAACCAGATTAATTCCCCATCTATAGCTTGTGGGGGTAAGGATAGTTGAAACTATGCGGAATTAACACAGGGACTCACCGGAGATGAAATGCAGAGCTGCTGAAACTATGCAATCCCACCGTGATGCTACACATGGATCTAGCTGAAGATACACAGACACTCCAACACGCAGATTTGGATTTAAAGACGCAAATCTACTGCAGATGCAAAGAAATACTATAGCTGTTTGGATGCATAAATTCGGCAAGCTTGCGTCCCCAGGTCCCCACGCCATGCATGGTTTGATCGTGGATCTTCTGGCAGGCTGGTACTACAAAATAGTGCAGTGACACGACGGCCGGTGCACCTGTGAGCTACTCCTACTAGGTTATCTGCACCTTCACTCAGCGTTCCCAAATTAGAAACTGATCGACACGAGCAGCGGCGGGGCCGCAGGCGTATGGATTGAGTGTAGGCCACATGTATCGGGAGCTGAAAGTGCGCTCCAAGACCTGAAGGGCGAGAGCGAGTGGGCGGGCTGCTGGTCGACGCACGGCGTGAGCGAGCGATGGAGTGTTTGACCGGTGTTCCCGCCGGCCAGACGTGGTTCCGTTGGCGCGGGGGACAATGATCAACTCGGCGAGAGCGACCAGGGCCTTTGGCGTCGAGCGAGCGCGCCGTGCCGACCCGGCAACGGCAACGGCGGGACACGGGGGATGTCATCCCATTTCTCCTCGCCCTCGGCTCAGCTGATGCCGATGCGGCAGGCAGGGCAGGTCGGTCGGGCCGGCAGCGCCACAGCCTTTCGTGGCTACGCGCGCGCTGCCGGGTGCCGGCCCCCCTGCACCCGCGTCGACGCCCCTCCTCTCCTGTTTCGGCAGTCTCTTTCACCACGCGACTTTGCCGAGCGCGCTGTGCCTTGCGGTGGCCCAGGCCACGCTCGGCCACGGAGTCTAGTACTAGTATACGTACGAGTACTACAAGATCGTGGATACGCATTAATCGGAGATCAGGCGATCAAGGACGGAAGAGAGCAGCCAGGTGGATCAACTGGCGTACACTCCTCAGCCGAACGGATATCATCCCCTAAGCCATCTTTAACGGCAAGCCACAGAAAGAACTCCCGCATTTGTCCGCGGACAGAGGGACCAATCCGCGAATATGGATGCGGGAGGCAGCCATCCAACATTAGCCGCATATATTTTGACTATTTTTTAATAAATTGAATGAAATTCATGTAAACACATGCGTATTTTGTACAAACATAACATATTTATACAAACACGGCAGATTTAACTACATTTAGAAGAAAAAAAAGACCCGCCCCTAAGCACATCATACGGCGGCGCTCGGCCGGCGTCCAAACCCGTGTCGTCTTTCTTCTGCCGTCTCCATGAGCACCGGCGATAAGACAGATAAAGTGAATGTGCGATCTCTGGCTAGGAAGAGTAGAACACGGGAGACAGACCGGCCCACATGAGATACCAGGCCCCGCCGCCTCCCATGGCCTACTCATCCGAACAACAGCTTGAGCGCGGAAGGCATCATAGATGGCACGCTGCTCCGCGATGAAATTCAGGCTCGTTGCAGCCATGGCTGCCACGGCTTCCTCGCTCGCGCGCTCGCCGTAGATCTAGCCGTCCACCAGCCAGTGCTGCTTCAGGAGAAACATGTTGTACCGTTGTTCCTCCTGCGCCCACTGAAACGCCGACAAAGGCGCCAGAGCAGGCTGCACCTTCACCATGTCGGCGTTGAACTGTGCATGCGCCTGCTCCATGGTGAAGCCGGCGTGCACAGGAGGCGCAGGAGCTGGGGCGGAGTCGTCGGAGCCCGTCTCTATCGTGGTGTTGTCCTCGTCGTTGGAGACCTCGGGCGAGCTGGGCGGCAAGCCAGCCTTGATCCGTCTGGCACGCCGGCTATGCCAGGCGGCGGCAAGGGCGGCCATCGCGTGCTTTATCTCCGACGACAAACTGTCTCACAATGCTTTCCCGCTGGCAGTCATGGCGGATGTAGTGCAAGGGAGTATGATGTGTAGGGGCTGGTGTTGTGGTGTGGTGTTAACAGGGTGTAGCCGCCTTTATATAGTGGATTTCGGTGAGGCTAGGCATCTTGGGGCGTCAATGCGCGGCGTCGGAGTGGGCTTCTCGGCCGACAAACCTACTTAATGGCGGCAGACGGACGGACAACGGCATTGAACGGGCGCGACAGATATCCGTTCCGTCCAGTCCAGTCACGCGCCTCCGGTGTTGAACATGCGCGGACACGGAAGACGCGTCACGGGCGGCGCCCTCAGCCGGCGCGCCGCTTCAATGGCGGAGGCAGTCAGAGATTGTGTCCGCTCTGAGCCGTCTTCAACGTTGAACGATGCGCTCTACAGCGGCATGAAATGCGGGCATTTGGCGCCGGAGGGGGGAGGGAGGAGTTCTTGGTGGGTCAGGACGGTCAGAAAACGGGTTTGAGATCAGTCCGGACTCCCGTAAACCTCGTCCACGTTTGTCTTCGGTTTGCGATAGAAATCGCGTTCGGACCGCT